TATATACATACATACACATACATAAACAGGAAGTCTCACAGTTGGAGTGAACAGTTGCTTGTGATGGCAGGAATTCTCACATGGCGCGCGTGGACGAGAACAACCATCACATATGGCGATATATTGGTCTAGAGGTTATGAAGGACCCCTCAAAGAAACTGGACGTGAGTACATGCTGCACTAATTACCATACAATGCCATTAGGTGGTCCACTACATGTTTTAGCAAGTACTAATTTAACAAAAGGATCAAAGCAGTCTGTTCTCCTGAAGGTTGATTTTCACTATTGTTTCATTATGGTAACTATGGAAGCTCATTTGTGTCAATGAGGATTAAAAAACAAGATCCTGTCAGTCATTATATAGTTATAGTTTATTCTAACAACTGTAATAATGTTATTTATTATTATTTTATTAATATTAAAGTTGTTTCTTGTGGTTAATTCTCTGCAAGGTGGGAAAAATAAACTGTCCAATGCTGTTGGTCAACGGTTGTGATGATCAGAACTGGCCCGCAGTGGAGTCTGCTGAAGATGTGAGTACACACACTGTGTGAATGTGTGTGTTAACTGTGAATTAGCAGATTTGGACAGGTTCATCTGGACTTGACCTTTGACCCTCAGATAGCCCAGATGATGCGAGCAGCAGGGAAGGAGCACCTGCTGACCAGACTGGAATACCCCGACACCGGACATCTGATTGAGCCGCCCTTCTCTCCTCACTTCAGGGCCACTAAGTTTATAACACAAATCACGAAAGAGAAAGGTGAGTCACACACGATTAGTTCTTTTATTTTGGTGGTGCTCCTTTCACTTCCTGTCAGAGAGCCAGATCTTTTCCTCTATTACTCTCCACCTTTTAGATACCACAGGGCTCTTCGTTTATTACTTCATATTTATCTCCTGACACAGAACTTCCACCGGGTGGCGCTGTTACCACGTTCCAAGGGTTTTCACTGAGCTGGTCCCAATGGCCTCGTTAAAACTCCACGTAACTGACAGACTGATTTATGACTGATTCAATCTCAAGAGATTTTTTTTTTGGAAAAGTGTCATAAAATCCGACATTTTAGGTTTCAACAATCCGAGAGAACGCCTGATGGAAGTTCTGGAAGGACGGATATTATTTATCTGTTTAAATCCTCCAGCTGTGTTAAAAGTTTTGGTATTCAGTGTAACAGAATCTTCTCTTAATTATAAGCACTGTTATTATTTATTTATAACTCTTTTCAAAAGTACTGCCAACAGTAATTAGTTACACTACTAGTTATATTACTTTCCCCCACGAAATTGGTAATTGTGTCCCCAAAATCTAGTTTTGTTTGTTGAAATCAAAGTAATGTGAATATTTCCAGCTGTTAAAGGAGAGTTTCCTCCAAGGATGTGATTGATTGGGTGACAACTGAATAAAGGTTGTAAGCAGCAATGTATCTGTGTATTATTAATATAATCCCTATTAATGGTGATGATGGAGTACAATGTTGTGTGTTTCAGTGATACTGCTGTGGGGAGGACAAACCAAACCCCACTCAGACGCTCAGGAAGACTCCTGGAGGAAGATTTTAGCTTTTCTGAAGCATCATTTGTACTCGAGCTCGACTCCCAGAGCTCGGATGTGAGTGCAGAACAGAGACCATGTTTACTACCTCAACACTACCACGGGGGGCGTCGCTCTACCAGGCGCCTTCGTTGTGATGAACTGTACTGAAGAATCGTATTAGGTTGTTCCTTTAAACACATTTATTCTTCTTCTCTATTATTATCTTTCTCTTTTTTCTTAATTATCTGCAGGCTTCAGACTTTAAGGTGTAGCTACTGGGGCAATAATATTAATGCTTGTTACTAAAGGACAGATTGTGTTTAATTAAATTAATAAATGATAATTTAATTTTCTTTTCATATTCTTTTATCAGATACTGATTCATTTCTCACTGTTCTTGTACGATTGCTTGTGTTCAGACATTGTTTTGTTATATGAATAAATGGTTTTAGCTGCTTACAGATTATCCTGAGTCCCATTTTTAATGTCCTCATCCCAATTCCACATTTCACCAACAAAACTAATCCATAAAACAATCTCTAAAATCACAGGTTCATTCAACAAAATGTTTCTGAGAACCGGTTTTATTTACATGTATTAGAATAACCTGTCAGCACTCATATATATATGTATATAGCTTTAGTTCTTCTACAGAGTTAAAAGTACAGTTTTTAACAATCAGAATATACAACGTAGGAAGCTGTTAGTTCTGCCGGGATGATTCATCAGTGGCAGTTTAAAGCACAAAGCCACTCACTGTAGTAAAGGCACACGCTGTCACAGTGTGTTAGTGTGCAGAGTCAGGATCCGCTCTATCAGCCGGAGAGTGGGCTGGCTGATCGGGTAGTGCCGAGGCAGCTTCTCCTCGGCACACGACAGCTTCACAAAGTACCTGGAGGGCAGAAACATCAGATCATTAAAGTCTCAACACACCTCAACATAATCCCAACATTAACTCAGAGCAGCAGCACCGACCTGAACTCCTCTCTCAAGTGGGACCGGAGGTGCTGTGCCAGCTGGTTGTTGTACTGCAGGCAGGCCAGCAGGAGGCGACAGCGCTGGAAGAGCAGAACAGACTGAGCCGGACTCAGAATCGACTCCTGCAGGTCCGACAAAACCAGCACCACCTGCTGAGCCTGGTAATCGATGAAGGACGTCTGCGGAGAGACGAGGACACCAATGGTAAAGTAGAACACACAGTGCTTCCCTACAGGACAGTCTGTCCCAGTGGAGGCAGCTGGGTCCTCTCTACTGAGTTACAGTGAGGAAGGTTACCAGGTGAGGATGAGGCTGCAGGACTCGGAGGATCCATCCAACAGACAGGAAGTTGTCAGCAGAGGAACATCTGCTGGCCTAAAACAGAAAAGTTTCAATAAATTCACAGTCCTGGAAGGTGCAGACTATGGAGTTGGGTAAAGAGAATTTGACCGGCTCTAAATCTTGTGGTTTTGCAAGATGGCGCCAGTGTGTG